CCCCACTTTTTTTTTTCTTTTCCTCCGAAGAAGTCACAGGAGCCATCTCAAAGATACCAGTTTCATTCTGGCAGATTGCTCCTTTAAGGTACTCTCAGTAGAAAAGGTAGAACTTTAAAGCATTGCTTCAAATGACATATTTAAACAAAAGCAGACTGAACATTTCTGTGCAAATTTAGTTCTTCCAATCAGTTCGGAAACATTTTCAACAGAATGTTTAAGTTAACAAACCATGTTAGTTTAGAATTAACAGGTAAGTACAGCATTTTAAAACTAGTCATCTAAATAGCATGTTGAGGGCAGTATAATACATTGAGAACTTTTAAACTGTTATGAGTCAGACAGACATTTTATATAGATTTAACACCTACCAAAGTAAATTCTGTAACAAAGTGATTTTGCATTATGCATATAACACTGATCCTTAGGCAAACAGAGACACATTAAACCAACAAATCTGAGGACTGAGGAATGTTATAGCTGGTTGGAGTCTGCTACAAAATCCTTAAGGATGCATTGCTATGTTGCTGTACATCTTAATTCAGGACACAGGTGAACAGCTTTAGCAGGAAACCTTTATACCAGCCACTTTAAAGCAAGCAGACATTTCAAAGTTTTTTGGTTGCCAGAAGTTTAATCTTGCTTCACTTCACCCTTTAATTGCCTTTTCATGCGTGAATATGGGCTGATTGTGTCATCCATCACGAAGTCATACAGTACTTTTATCCAAGAGTTATATTGGGGCAGGTTGTCATAGTATTCAGCTGCTATTTTCTTCACCTGAAGGAGAAATATGAGGTTTATTTACTGGTTGTATTAACATCAGTTGTGACAACTTTACAACCCTCGAGGTGTAACCTAGTAATGTGTAACAGCACAGGAAGTTTCATTCCAGAAGTTAGATCCTACAGGAAAGGCCACTTGTGCCACAATATGAACATTCCTTGAAGGAAAAAGCACTTCCCTAGTTATTAAATAAATCTGCTGTGAAATTTTTGGAGCTGCCAGAACAAACTCGGCTAACTTTCCAAAGTCCCTTCACCGTGCTGGTGATGGAGCTCACAAAGCAAGCGGTTTGGTTGCTGTTGTGTGTGACTCAGCTCAGTGCTGACTCACAGATCTACAACTAACAGTAAAAAGGATGTTTTATGTTCTAGGAAGAGCTGGTTAACACAGCTATTTTTACACATCGTTTCAAATCTCAGTACTCAGAAGAAAAAAGGCATTTTATTTCTGAGGCATATTTTGTTTCTGAAGACAGACTTCAAAGAATGAATATAAACTGCTTCCAAAGACTGTTCTCAGTTCCACATGTTAACTAGACCACTGTTTAAAGTGAGAGCAGCAGTTCAGTTAGGTGCCCATACTGCTATTTAGGGCCAGCCACTTAAAGCCTTAAAAACATGAATGGAACAAAAAGGATTTTTCACAAAATTCCATAGCTTTAATCCCAAGAATAGTATCAATCTGTACAAGCAACAAACAAAGGCAGGGTATTTAAATGGCTGGTTTGAAGGCAAAGCTTGTTTTGACCCATCACACCTACAGAGTAGTGCACCTAAGCAATGTACTTTTACTCAACAGCAGTAACTCTCAGCTCACCAGTGCTGAGAAATCAAGTGTTCGGTACTTAGGGATCTTTAACACACAGCACAGCAGTCCAATCCAATAAAGTTAACTGCACTATTTCAAAAGAAGGCTTTGTTTTCTTATCAGAGCTGTGGATTATGAGTCCTGCAGCAGAACTGGGTATTCTACCCCTACAATACTTGCAAAAATTCATAGCCTACTTAGAGCTAAAGTACCTATCCAAGAAGTGAAATGCTGGTTCACAGCACAGAACCAAGTATCAAAGGCGAGTTAAAGTAACTTTCACTGTATTTGAAAGATTTAGATCTATTAATAAAAGCAATCATCTAGCTTTAAAAAAAAGAATTACAAAAAACACACAAAGCCTCAGCAAATCAATTGCATGATCTACCTGCCCTGCTAAAAGTGCTGGTGTAGTTGTTTCAGCTGCAGCTCCACCACTGACAACAGAAATACCAGTCAAGTTTGGACTTCACCAGAGGGATGATCTTACAAGGTCTCACTATTGCCAAATGCAATAACAAAGCTGTGAGACCAACACCACAGCTGCTGTCAAATTGCAAATTTGGTATCTGATGAAAAACTGAAGATTCAGATGTAACCCTGAAGCCTGTGTTCCCATTCTTCTACTGGGAAACACGGATACAATGAGAAAGAAGCTCCTGCCTATAAGAAGCAAAGGCTGAAGTAGGAGAAACTTCACCTCTGCTACTCATGACAGGTCTAAGTCCTGGCTTCAGACTCTTAATTCTGCCTGTGCTACACTGCAGAGGTACAGCTGGTACTTATTTAGGGTTCAAAGGCTCTTGCCAGAGGAAACTGAAATGCTGCAGACTAGAGAAGTTATTAAACATTTATCAACAGTACAACAAACATTAACAGTACCTCAAACCCTCTCTTTTCCTCCACCAGAGGATGTCCCTGACAGAAGAGACTGAAGGATAAGCACACATTACAATACTGCCCTTAACATTCCAGTGACAGAGATAACAAATCTCCAGAGTTAACTACAACCTCTTAACTAGTTTCTTGCATACTTACAAACAAGAATTCAGAAGACAGGCTGTAATTACAGAAAGCTAAACTTAGTGCAAAGCTTAAGATGTGTGTTCCCTCCCCTCTCCTTTTATGGAAGAGGACTGAGCAGCAGCAAACTGCAAGCTTCTTCAGGCTATCACTAAAATGCTAAATAATTACCTCCTTTATCACTCAACTTGTATTTTGGGTTTGTTTTTTTTTTGTTTTTAATCTCCCAACTTCCATTCTTCTGTTAGTGTTCTATGTTCAAGCAGGCCTTAATTTAAGAAAAAGTAATAACCTTAGAAGTTAACTTACCAGTGGAAGGCTCTTGCCAGGAATATTGGGGAAGTCATGATGTTCATTGTGATAGCCAACATTAAAAGTGAGCAAATTAAGTGGCCCATAGTAGGAATAGGTCTCATGCCCTTTTAAAAACATGTAATGTTCAGCTATGAAGTGTCCCGAAATCGGGTGCAACCCAAGACCCAGTACTGAACCAGCGAGCATGTAAAAAATGGATTTGACTCCCCATAAATAATATATTGCCACATCAAAGGCCAGCTGAGCCAATAAATTGATTATTTCAAGTCGACTAATGGGTTTAGGATTGATGCAGAGAGGTCTAATGGCATAGAAAAAAGGCTGAAGGACAATCCATATGAACTTCCTAAAACGGGTGCAGAAAAACCAGCCCTCGAAGTTGGTAGGAATATCCACATCGATGCCGTCACCGCCTAGGTAACGATGGTGATCCATGTGGTATCTCTTGAAGGATATGGAGTAGGGCAGACCAAGGGGGAGGTTGGCAAATATTCCAAACCATCGATTCCACATGGCTTTGCTGTTGCCAAAGGCACTGTTGTGGGAGATCTCATGGATAGCCAGAGTCATGGAGTGACTAATACAGCTTCCAAAAACGTAAGCCCAGAAGACCACCCATTTCCAATCCAAGTCTTTAACCAGATAGAATGCAGTCAACTGCGCCAGAACCATCAGCACAACCACCCAGATCAGGTTGTAGTCTGGCTTCATCAATGCTTTTATCTCTGGATGTTTAGCTAGATGGGAAAAAGTTAAATGAAAAAAGTCATTCCAAAGCTCTTCTCACAGCCCACTATATCCCAATTAGATTACAGTTTTTTCCTCCCTTTGTCCCAGTTAGGAATTGTCTGCACAGGTAATGAAAACTCGTGACCTTTCCACTTGTGATATTTACTGCTATAATGAATCATTTGGAATCAAGTCATTTTAGCACTTTTCCGTTGCTCAGCAACTAGACACGTCCATGGCAAGCACCAGTACCACATCCAGCCTCCTCAGGAAGGAAATGGCTCTGAGCCGACAACCCACCCGGAATTCAGAAGGGCTCACGAAGGCTCAGCTCCGAGTTTAGCGCCGCACTCGAGGCCGCTATCCGCCACCCCCGGCCGCGGTGACCTCCGCGCACAGCGGCCCCCGACACCGCCGTATCGCCGTGCCAGGGCAGGGCCAGGCGGGGAGCGGCCCGGGGAACCCGGGCTCTGTTCCGCCGCTCGGCATGGCAGCCCGGGCCGCCGCCGCCCCGCGCCTCGGGCCCCGCAGGCGGCCGCCCCCCCGCTCCTTTCCCCGCTCCTTCCCTTCCCCTCCCCCGCCAGCGCCGCCAAGGCGGCGGCTCCCGCCCCCACGTACGCGGGCCCGGCCCGACTCCGGCCCCGCCGCCGGGAGGCTCCGGGGGCCGCGGCACCCCCGACAAGGGCGGCCATCTTGTGGGGTGTCCGTGCGCGTCCCCCCCGCTCCGCCACGCAGCCGGCGGCAAAAAGCGACGGCACCGCGGACGCCTCACCCAGGATCTCCTTGCGGCGGTCGGCGTGCGGCTGGTCCGTGTAGACCCACTCGAAATCCTCCCTAGCCACAGTGTTCCCCATGGCGGCAGCACAAACCCCCCTCACCGGCTGCCCGCCCGCTGCGCTGAGCCCCCGCTACCGCGCTTTATAGCGCGGCGGAGGCGGCCCGGGGCCCCGCCCCCCCGCCCCGCCCTCGCCGCCCATTGGCCGCCGTCGGCCGCTGGGCGCGCTGCCGCCGCCGCGGCGCCCCCTGCCGGTGGGGCGGGGCGGGCCCTGAGGGGCTCGGGGAGCGGGACAGGAGTAGCACTCAGAGTGGAGAGAAACAGCCCTAAGAGCGGGGAAGGAGCAGCCCTCAGAACGGAGAGAAACAGCTTTCAGAGCGGGAGAGGAGCAGCCCCCCGAGCGGAGAGAAACAGCCCTCAGAGCGGGACAGGACGAGCTCCTCAGGGCGGACAAGAGCAGCCCCTCAGAACAGGACAGAAGCAGCCCTCAGCCCTCCACAGAAGGAGCCCTCAGACGGGACAGGAGCAGCCCTCAGAACGGAGAGAAACAGCTTTCAGAGCGGGAGAGGAGCAGCCCCCCGAGCGGAGAGAAACAGCCCTCAGAGCGGGACAGGAGGAGCCCCTCAGGGCGGACAAGAGCAGCCCACAGAGCAGGGAAGGAGCAGCCCTCAGAGCGGAACAGAAGGAGCCCTCAGACGGGACAGGAGCAGCCCTCAGGGTTGACAAGAGCAACCCTCAGAGCGGACAGGAGCTGCCCTGAGAGAGGAGAGAAACAACCCTCAGAGCGGGACAGAAGGAGCCCTCAGGACAGGAGGTGCCCTCAGAGCGGGACAGAAGGAGCCCTCAGGACAGGAGCTGCCCTCAGAGCGGGACAGAAGGAGCCCTCAGGACAGGAGCTGCCCTCAGAGCGGGCAGGAGCAGCGATCCGCCGTCCTAAACCCGCGTTCCCTTGAGCTGCTGTCCTGGTCTGCCCCCGTGCTTACAGGCCCCTGCCTAAAGGTACTGAACGAACTACAACTCCAAACGCCTGCAGCAAAGTCTCTGTTTCCTTCCCTTCTTGTGGTAAGATATTTGAAGAACTTCTTTGTCAAACTCCTCTGTAAGAACTTCCTTCCCTTTTTGTGGTAAGATATTTGAAGAACTTCTTTGTCGAACTCCTCTGTAAGAACTTCCATTTAATCTGTATTTGTCATAAAACACTGACTGTGGGCAGCTCAGTGAGAAAGATTACCCTGTGTAGAAGCTGAACTACCACTTTCTTGGAATTTTAGTCGTTCACTCGTAATAACCTATATCAGTAGATCAAAAATCCACTCAAATTAATCTAATCAGCAGTAGTGATAAAAACAATGGAGGCTGTTATCACAAAGTAAATTATGCCTTATATCTTCAGGTAGTATTAGTATCTCAAAGTTATGATTCATCACTTAAATTTTACTACTAATAATGAGTACATAAGGCTTATGCCTACAAGCTGCTGGAAGTCCCACATGCAACAGGGCTATTGGAGGGGAAATTCAATCCCTACTTGGAAATGTCTGCAATTATGTGAAGCGGTGGGCAAAGCACAGGATCTATAAAACATAGCGCTTTTGTGAATAGTTTGGTTTGCATTCATTTTAATTACAGCACATTAGGGTGGGATTTAGAAGTGAAAAATGCAGCAAGGAGGTGACACATGGAAAAGGTTTTGCTCAGCCTTTCCCTCCTCAGTCAGAGAATTGAACTGTGCAGACTGGCGCAGCATAAGAGGCAAAGCAGATGTCTAGATTTCATCGAGGCTCTGTGACCTTGCCAGGTTTACTTTTTGGTCAGTGACCATTTCACAATAAGGAAGCTTTGGGGTTGCCAGTGCAGCAGCTGACTGCAGAATCGCTGGGGTCACAAGCGTTTCACTCACTGCACTCCAAACAACACATATAACATTTCTGACAGCGTTCCCTTCTGCTTGGGAGTTCAAATATTAGCACTGCTATCCATCATTTTGCTAAGGACCTCCTCATCCATAGGAAGGATCCTGCCAAAAGGAGTGTGGCAGGAGGTGACAGGAGCACTGGAGGAGTGACAGCACGTCAGGAGTTCAGTACACAGAGGCAGGTTTACAGCACTACAAACATACATAGGTTTGTAAATGGTCACAAATTTCAGTAGGGCAATTAAACAGAAGATCCCAGGTTTATAAACTAAACATTTCAGAGCAGTTAAATAAGGTTTAAACAACTATAAAAATATATTAAATAGGAAAGCTTCGGACAATTGCCCAAGTGTACTGGAGAGCGAGGTGTCTTCCCTATTTAATCACTGCATTTGATCATTCTGTTACATATCCAGATTTATTAGGTCTTCAGCAAGCCAACAGTTTTTGTATCTGGTGTTTTCCATTCCAGAGACAGTGAGATCCAGTACCTACTGTGTCTTCAGCTGGCACAAAGCTCAAACAAGAATCCTGGAATGTTCACTTACATGTGAACCAAAGCCAGGACTGCATCCTTGGAATGGGGAAGGTGAGATCCAGGCAGGAGAACTGCAGGAGTGGAGAGCACATGGACAAGCAAGCTGGCCCAGGTACAGTGCAAAGTAGCACAGAAATGCAACTTGAGTGGAACAGAATAGTTCACAACTAGCAGACATGTTGCTGTAAAACAGTCCAAACTGAATTTACTAATTCATGAGGTAACAATCACTGAAATTTGCTAATTACCCTCTTAAAAGCATCAGGAACACCAAGGAATCAGAAAATCCTCTCCTGTGTTGACACACATTCCATTATATCCTACATCATCCTATTTTCAAGAGGCTCTTGATGTTGAAAATTCCTTTGGCAACCCTAGTGTTCCCTACAATTCACTGTTAGAAGATCTGAGTAAGAGCAACCAAGTTTCTGTCCAATTCTGTCTTACCTTTTACATTAAGAAGTTACATGCAGGCATCCTTTGCAGCATTAATGAATTTGGTGATTAACATGCAATGCTGAGTATCAGGAACTGACCAAGATCCATTTGTTTCCATCTGTTCTTTAATCTGTGAAATCTGCAGGTACTCTTTCTTCCTCCAGCACTTCCACATCCATTAGCCCAGGTCTGGAGGGTCCTTACATACTGCAGTTACATAGCAGCTGTTCAGTTTGGGAAGCAAGACCTTGTCACAAACAGCTTTTCCCTCAAAAAAGTACCACTATGGTATCTTTTCATCTTATTTTCACCATGTTCACTAGGTACACAGATTCATTAAAAAATCCCCAACCTTACTATGAAACAAAAAGCAATTTTTAAGCAAGTGCTATTTTTAGAAAAGCAGTAAAGCTGGTCTCAGTAATTTTAAATTATTTTAAGAAACCAAATACAAGACACTTAAAATTGCTTTCCCTGACAGCTCTGATTTTTCATTTTCAGACCTTGATACAAGTACTAAAACTGAACAGTGGGTGCAAATAAATCATTTTCTCAGGTAATTTTGCAAACTACATCTCAGTGTCACTGTTTTAAGGCTCTCCCTTGAACAGATGATACAATCACCAATCACTACCAACACTACTTTGAGGCTGATACACCAACTCACATAAATGTGCACAGGCATTGAGAGTGAAAAGAGATATAGTTTTACTTCAGGTGATTCATCAGCTTGTTCACATATTGCAAAATTTATCCTTTTTGTTTAACAAGGGACAATATGGTGCCAGAAATTAATGCCTCAGCTGTTTTGTCCAAACTATTACTTCATTGTTTTTTTAACATGTGTATATTTTTCTGGTGTACATTCCAGCCAAGAGCATCTGATGTTTCCTTCTCTGGGATGTGAAGTAGCAAACACTGGTGTACCTTTATTGTGGAATTTCTCAGAGCTGCCTTGCTCCCATCCCCTCTACCCCTGAAGTTTCATGGGCCTCATTCCATTTCACTGGCAGCACATGGAGGAGCAGGATGCACCTGCAATCCTGGAGCACATGATACTTCCTTGAGCTGAAGGTTCCAAGCTGGCATGGTTCCCAGAGAACACTTCCCATGACAACTGGCTGTTGTTTTCCAGCTCAGAGATTCCCCAACACATCCAGAAATTCCCCAACACATCCAGAAATGCTACTCTGGGATATCCTGAAACGATTTGTACACTGGGATGGTGGGGAAGGGGAAATTGTCTGCATATTCTAGAAATTAATAAAGAAACTGAAGTGAAAAATATTCAAAATGTATGAATAAACCCTTTCAGTAAATGAAATTCACGAGTTTATACTTGTTTGGAAGCATTTAACCACAAGTAGCTGGTAATTAGTCCATTGCAGGAATTTTTTATCACAAATAACCATTCAATGAATTTGTATCACATGGTAATTCTAGCCATCATGCTGACCCTTTTGACTCAAAATTGGTTTTTAAAAGTTAAGGTATATGCCAGTATTTTTAAGCTGAATAGCAGGTATCTATCTCCAAGACAGACTTACCTGTAAAAACATTCTGAGCTGTATAAACCAGTAAAAGCAAGTGCTCCTTCAACAGTTTAAGTCTGCTCTCAGACAGCCTTTTATAATTTCCTTGATTATTAAGAAAAATGCCTTTTTTTTTTTTTTTTTTGGAAAGGACTCAAACTACTTGAGAAGTTTATTTGAAAGCCAAATGTCTGTCAAATATTAGGCATTTCTAATGTTACTTCTGGTACCAAGCTACTGTGTTTTAGAAGTAAAAATTGCAGCTGAAGTTTCAGGAAAAATGTCAGTTTACCACGATTATATAATACCTGACCAGACAACTTCTGATTTGTTTAGTGCTTTAAATACAGCCTCTAGATTATGCTGACAGCCATACAAAATGAACTTGCACTTTAACCCACAGCAGTAATATTGAGATTGTAAACAGCTACAAAATGCAGCATTTGCATTTTCAGTGCCATACCAAGTTGAATTCAGAACCACCTAAAGACAAAGCAGCAGCTGGTTGAAAAAAGAAAACGTAAGTCAAATTATAAAGCTACATAGTTTAGTACATTAAAACAAAACCAAGGACAATGGTATTTGTATAAGATTCCAAAAATATACAGATGGCAGGGGGGGAATAATCACTGTACACAACTCTGAGGTGGTTAAAGTGACCAGAGAGACTGAACAGTGCAAGACATGCTTTTCCAGTTACAAGCTCAAAACAGAAGTGCAAAAGAAATTAAAGCTCTGTCTGAAGTGATTTACCTTTTAGGCTAAGGAAAGCTTAGAATATTGTCATCAGTGTTACAGAGAAATTTCCACCCCAACCCCAACACAGACACACAAAATAGTTTAAGTTTTACCATAATACAGCATTTCACTCAAATGATGTCCCCAGAGCTTGGTGACTCCAGGGACACTCTGCAGGTGTTCGGTGTTGGCCCATGACCCAAGTGACGCACAGGCAGCCTCTCCATCCTCCAGCTTTGGCTAACAATAGATCCCTGCCCTCCAGGCAGGGCGAGCGGCAGCCACACAGCCCGGGCTCAAACCTCCTGCCTCCCCGGACCGCCTCGCCGCGAGGAAGCCGCTGTGCTGAAAGCACAGACTGAGTTATGGCTGAGGAACAAAGGAGTTGCTTCACAGCTCTCTGCGCTCTCTCCCAGAGTTTGGAACAGTTTCAGGCAAGTGCTTTTGGCAAGCTGACTAAGCTGTACATGCATCTATCCATGCAAATGCAGAATATGGCTCCCAAGACCTAGAACCAGGGTGTGTGCATGTGAAGACTGGATAGAAGGCCCTTCCGTGGAAGTTTACAAAAATATATAACCAATACTGTAGCTTAAGAAGTCAGTTTTACTCGTTACAGAGAACCCCAAAAAGTATTAACTACTTTTCAGACATTCCAGACAAGGTCACTTGTAACAAAAAAGGTCAAGTTCTCAAAAACAAGGTTTTAAAAGCGGATCTTTCCTTCAAGTGAACAGGACATCTGTTTTTACTCTTAACCATTTAGTCAGTTAAGACAATTTATTTAAGATTTCATGTGAACATATGCATAAACACAAATAAGTTTACTTCAAAACACATCTGCACAAAAAAAAAAAAAAAGGTTAACCCTTCAAAACATAACAGAGCAGGTCTGGTTAGTATGTAGCTATTGCAAATCTTAAAGATTCTGTGCATTAGGCCCACCCATATAGAAAGCAGGGGAAAAGTCAATGAAAGAAAATCACTGTTCAAGTCTAAGTGGTGTTTTGAAGAGCCAGCAGCCTAAGTGACACCATGAAGCTGGTCACAGTATCCCAACAAGCAGGCCTGCTTGGGCTGCTAGAGCAGTGTATCCTCCTGAAGGCGCCATTTCCTCCCCAGTTATTTTCTGTTCCGAAGGCGTTTAGATTTCCTAGGACAGTCTGTGGAATCCACCGCCTTCCTCCTTTTCCTGGGAGATTGTTCATTTGAGCCGGAACCTGAAGAATTCCCTACTGTGCTCTCCATCACCTCCCGCAGCTTGCGCTCCAGCTCGGCCAAGCGGGCGTTCTGTTCCCCAATGATTTGGGTTTGCTCAAGCAGTTTCTGGTCTTGATCCTGGAGCTGCTTCTGCTGCTCCTGCACTTTGACGCGCAGCTCCGAGATCTCCCGCTTCAGCGCCGTCAGGCCCGTGCCGTTGGCTTTCACCTGCTGCTGCAGCTTGGTGACTTCCTGCCTGGAAGGGCTCTGCTTGGAGAACAGCTGCATTGTTGTCAGTGCTGCAGAAGGCCCTGGAACTTCAGAGAGAACTGTGATTAATACTCTGCAACTTGCGGGTAGAAATGGTCCCAGTGTTTGTATTTTGCTTATCCCTACTCCCCACGCATGAATCTGAATACCCATGGCAAGTTATGTGAACAGGCAAACACATTTACAGTCACTTAAGTGTCTAACAAGAACATGTGGTAATCTCAGAGCACAACCAGTTTAATTTAAAATACTTACAGCTTTTCAGTAGTCAGGAAAAAAGTTCCTAATTTATTTTCTGTATATAAGCCCCCCTCCTTTTGCTGCATCAAAAACTGTAGAACTATTGTGTTGTCATCTAGACTTAGTGTTACAGATGTTGAGACAAAATCCCACAAAACATCTCTGAATTACTTAATACGGGATAGTTAAGACTGAATAAATATATTTCATTAGACCAGCAAAATTCTGCTGTCTTAGCTGCAGCTAAAGTTCTAAAAAATTGTAGTTTGGAACTTAACAAGGTATTTCGGTATAACTTACATTTTAGAAGAAAGGAATTTATTTTCCATGCTTCTTTAGAATCACTCCTCCTAAGCACTAAAACCATACTGGAATCTGAGCTTGGAACTGTTGATTCTAATAAAGTTCCTGCAAATCAAGGAGACTAACAGCTACTGTATAATTTCTTTCACTTTTTCTGCCATAAAAGGTATCTATCACTTTTTCGGTCATTATAGTCTTCTAGCAATGCTGTGCAATTAAGGTGCAACTTTAAGTGCTCTACAGACAGAAGAGTCTGGAACAGTCATCCTCCTTTTCCTCCTTTTTTTTCCCATTAGGATGGCAGCACACTACCATTACAGGACACTAAGGGGTTGCTATTGGGGAGGTTATGCCCTTCCCTCAACAAGAGAGAGGCATTTTATGCACCACAAAGCCTTGGCCTTGAAAAGTTGATTGAAATCAACTGTGGGTTTGGGCAATACTTCCTCAGCTGAGAGGCTCTATATTAACACATACATAGGCTCTATATACTAACACATATAATTTAAAAAAATGTAAACCCATATATAAATTTTAAAAAGGTATATAATTATAAAAATAAAAATACAACTAGCAGGATATACTAAAGGTGGCATACACACTTATGGCTAAAAAGATGGACAGGACATACAAGAAACAAAAGCATCTGCAGTTAGGCCTATTGTTTTTACTTAAGATATATTTTTTCCCCCTGGTTTTTACTAAGTTATCCTTCTAGAGAGTTAAATTTCACAGTTCCTAAAATGTGAACACATCCTGTATATGAAAAACTCTACAATTTTACCAATCTTTTACCATTAGGATAACTTCAGCCAAGAGGCAACTACCTTATAGTTTGATTCACAAAAGTTCTGGAAAGTCTGACAGAGTACTCGAAGGACCAGTTTAATGGCTTATTTAAAGACTGTTATTTTAATTTCCTTTTCACTATTACCTGTAACTATTTTGCTTGTTAGTGCATAATTTTACCAATCTTTTACCATTAGGATAACTTCAGCCAAGAGGCAACTACCTTAGTTTGATTCACAAAAGTTCTAGAAAGTCTGACAGAGTATTTGAAGGACCAGTTTAATGGCTTATTTATAGACTGTTATTTTAATTTCCTTTTCATTATTACCTCTAACTATTTTGCTTGTTAGCAAAAAAATAGTACCCCCAGTAAAGTAAAAAAAGCCCATTCCAGCCTTCTATGTACTACCACAGCTTAGTCAAATTCATTTGCAGCTTGTCCTAAAAATAAAAGGCATCGAGTTGTCATCTCATGTGCCAAATTTCAACCAAATGCAGCAATAAAGTCTCATTCATTGGTGGCACAAAAGCATTTGTTTAACGAATACACACTATGCATAATTCTAACATACATTCCAGTGACTGTTCTTCTAGTAGTACAAAGGCTCCTTAAATTTCAAAGCAAACGAATTTCAGTTAGCATTCTTAAGAAACGAGTATCACCAATATTTATGTAATAAAGCTCCCATTTAAGGGAGGGAGCATAGAAAACATACAGTGCTGTGATTTTTTTAAAGAACAACTAAATAAAACTTAACTATATGTTGGAATGAATACCTGGGGCAGTTCCTATTAGACGTCCCGATACATCTGACCCAGGCATCTTTCTTTTCAGTATTGGAACAATCTTCTCATCAAAATATTCCATAGCCATGGAGGAAATGTCCCTTAGTTCTTGAAGAACTTCATGAGCTCTCTGAGGAGCTCTTGTGGAGTTTACATATCTTAGCACTCGATAAATTTCATCTATTACCTAAAACATTTAAGAAGAATTAGGATTTTCTGATAAAGGCAAGATTATTTCAGTTTGTTCGAGGAATTCTGGCATATTTAGGGTTTTTTTACCACATAACAGTTGCACACCACTGTGTGTTTTAGTTCCAGATCAGCTTTTTGAAGTGTTGCTCATTATTTATCAGAGAAGCTATTCATTTAATCTATCACAACAGCTCTCTTCAAAGTCATGAAATAATGCTCATTAGGTAAAATGTGAAGTACAGCCACAGCTGGCTTGCAAGTTACATCATCTCTACTCAGCAGAGCATGATCATTTCCTTCAGGAAAACCTGAAGCAAGAAGCCCTACAGCAGAGCAGTCACTACCCCTGCCAGTCATGGAACAGAATTGGAGTAGCAAGAATTAGCATTATGTCAGCCTGAAGAGCTGTAAATATTTACTTGAGTCCATTGCCATACACACAAAATATTGCAAATTCAGATTAAGTCCAAAATATATTCATTTACAAAACATCAATTCACTATTGACAGAGAACAAAACTCTCTTGACAGGTGTGGAAAACAAAGCCCTTGAGTTAGGAGAGATACAGAGAGATGAAGGGAGTCTTGCTAATTTATGAATTAAAATCTGAGGCAGGTCAAGATAGGAGTGCTGGTTTCTTAGCCAAAGCTATACAGGTATTTTGCACAGGATTAAGAATGCTTGAAGAACACACATAATAAGGTGTGTGAAGAACACACCTTGTAATACAGAGCACCTTCTGTTCTGATAAAGGAAGCTTAGCTAAAAAGTCCCAAAAGCTAGACAAGACCTAAGTTTCTCATCAAACAATAAATGACTGCTCTAATTTCATCCACTTTATATCCTATTAGCAACAACATCCTCAGTATAAAACCTTGCATCAGTGTTCTGCTATCACACAGAATGCTGAACCTCAAACCAGGATTTGCATATTCTAACACAAATTCACTTCCTGACAGTTCTTTGGTGAAATTTCCTGAGGAAAGCAAAGCAGGTGGGAGGGAAACCACAGACTGTAAGTGAACACTAAGCCTTGAATCTGATTGACCAAAATATTAATTAATGGGTGAACTGGTAACTGTGCTGAGAGTGCAGCAGTGCTAGGAAACTCACACACCAAGTAAATCATTAAAAAAAAACCCCACCAACAACTTTTTAGCAGTTGTATCAAAATAAAATCAAAGGTGCTTACAAGTTGGTGCCCACAAGGAAAAGCAAGCTCACCTGCCCAACTCCTGCACACCCCTGGTCTAGGATGAATACTGCCTTTCCCTCTACTCTTCAGAACAGTAAAGCAACATTTTTTTCAAAGTATCCCATTTACCATGTAACTATCAGGGACTTAAGTTAATTTGATTTCATTGTATTACATTGTATATTTTTTTAAATACATGGTATATAAAAGTATAATGTAAAGTCATACAAGAATATAATTTAAAATGAATTAAATATCAAGTCAACAAGAGTAACAGAAATAGTTACTTCTTCAAGAAAAGAATACATTCCATGCCCACAGTTTAGCCTACCACTGTATGCATAAGTGCCTGCATGCTTCCCCAGAATCCAAGAGATAACTTTCCCATTCATCTCACTGCAGTTCAGTTCTCTGCCCACAAAAAAGTAACATCAACATATCCAAAGCTTACATGGGAAGATCAATGAATGGAGCATTAGGATAATGTTCACTGATCTCACTTAATCCCTGAGCTGTAGCAGTCTTCCTCTGAGCACGATTTTGTCAATTCCCCTGTGCACTGGTGATTTCACAGCTTATAAAACATCGATATCTCCAATGTACATCTTGCCTGCATAATTTATATTTAATGCTGGGCTGGTATTCTAAAACTCCAGAACTGTTCAATGATGTTCCCATTTAACACACTTTACATTTAAAACTAATTCCACCTACTGTACAAAAATATACCATCCACTGTAATACTGAACAGTGTTTTGACATACTAAATACCTTAATTCAATTAACCTGAAGTACTCAAACCCTTAAGAAGGTGCCTAAAATCATGACTGACTGAGTAACTAGTGTTATGTGTAATCTAAATTACTACAGCTTCAGATGGCCTGATCACATGTGTTTTTCTAAAAGGTTGTAGAAGATGAATATACCACAAGTCAAACATCAGAATCAAGAGAGAATCTAAGGGCAAATAGAAATCTAATTTAAAATAATTAATATTTAAATACAGCCTGGTTTATTAATTTCAAACTGCCTGATAAAACAAGAGTATTGGCTTATAGGTTTATTTGCAAGTGTGTGTATATATATGTTAAAAAAATATATAAATATATATACACACACACACAAAATATCAATTTTCCCCAGCTGTGCCAGGTTAAGTTACACAATCCTATATTTTAAACACAGATACATATTCGCATAATACAGTCTGCATTTTACCTTTCCAGGTATGAAGCAACAGAGATTGGAATCCACATACTTCATGAAAGTCATATTTAGGAGAGAGAGTCTCGTTTCCACAGCAGCAAGGATGTCTGCATGGCGAGCTAATGAATGGTTTCTCCTTTCTGACTCCCGTCTGGAAGACAGACCACAAGGTGACACTGATTTAACAAAAAAATCCAACTGTAACATTTGTCAAGTTAATTTCACCCTTAAAACCCTGTAACCACTAACATTTGTCTTCACAGAAATAACAGATACTGAGACCCAGCTAGGAACAGCGCACTAAACTTTCTTAGACAAAATTTGTTCTCTAAGTAATTACTATACCTTATGTGCTCCATAAATTTTGTATGTAATTGAGGACTATTTAAGAACAAGGCTGCAGTACTAACTAGCAGCAGCCACTGAGTCAGAGTGAATATATTTATCCCACCCACTCGTATGGTCAGTACTTCGATGCAATTGAAATAATAATTAGTAGTGAAGTTTACATAGTGAAGAACTACTAAGAAGTTTTGGTTGAGATAGAAACACTTTTTGATAAAGGACCTCTATGCTAAGTAGCATTTAGTTTCTTCACTCTGACTGGGAAATATGATAGGACACAGCAGCAGCTGCACTTATTCACTGGGAAGAGGAAGAAAGACGTTGCTTTAGTGAGAAATCAGTTCCCAGTAATGCTCACATGTCAAATCCCTCTTCCTTGTTCCCATTTAGTCCTTGCCAGTGAAAAACCTTGTGCTTTAAAAAAAAGCAGAATATTTGATAAATAATCAGTGAAGGCAGTTGTTCTTGAAAAGGAATGGCATTTATTCATTCCCAGGAATCCTCCTTTGATTTGTCAGAAGAGTTGAGTAATACAGAACCCAGATTTCTCTGTTTGAAATACCAGACACACTTCTCACACCACTATTCTGTAATTAAATCTTAGGTTCAAGGTGGTTTTAGGAAAAAAAAAAATAAATAAAGGCAAATGTAACTCAAATTTTCAAGATATATAAGAGAATTAGCCAGAAAGGAATTCCTCTTCAATAATCTGCTTAAATGAATCTAACACATTTAAATTTAATTCCAGTTTTAACTGGTACATACCTTGGAAGTTGAGCTTTAACTTGCTTTTGACACAAGTTGTGGTATCTTTCCACTTTCAGAAATCCCTGATTTAACATTCTCTGGCAAACCAAGTCCATTCGTTTACAAACCTGTATTTAAGTAAAAAGAAATCTTAAGGCTCAATTAAGGCCACAACTCACTTTTACTATTATCTTATCCCTACTTGCCAGGTAGCAAAATATTCTCTTACTGTTTTTTGCTCCATTTCAACAAGCAAAAAGTGCAGTTGAGATTACGGCATTCCCATCTCCACCAAAGATCACAATACTCCAAAAAGGAGCAGCTATGTTTCACACAGTTCACAAATAAATCTGTTGATTTTGCCTAACAAGAGACAGTAGGCTGACTGCCACCTATTAGAAGCAAATACAATTTCCTCTGATTTTAATGGAAGTTGCAAATGCCCATGCCTGGCTTTCAGCATAGTCTCCAGTGTGATTCTGGTAGATAAAATTAATATTTTTTAGTCTCAAAAATAGAAACCTTTAAAGACAAGAAATCACAGTGGTTTTCTTCCAGTGTTTAAGGCTTAAGCTTTTAAACTCAACCACAATTAAATTTAAAAACACATGGAAAACACTGCACATGGAACAAGATTCTCCTTTTTGTATAAGAAAGTATCTTCTCCTCTGTTTAAAAGATTCCTTTATTTGTTGTTGGACACCAGTAGTCTCAGGGGTTTTTTGCCCCACAGATTTAGGAAGAAGGGGCATGAAGAGCTGCAGAAGATATAATAAACTGCTAAAGTTAAACCTTCACAAAGTTACCAGTTACAAAGCCAACTCAGACAAAAGTTTAAAGCACTTGCTATTCAGTTCTGAAGATACAAGAGCTTAGTGACCCAACTGTTCTTTGAAATAGCTTTGCTTTTGTTGGGATTTTTTAGGTACTGAAGTCCACAGTTCCCACTGTGACCCCACTTACCAATAAATAGGCTTTCTATTTTTTTAATAAACACTTACCCTTTCATAACTTTAAAGTCTATGTAAGTTTATACCTTGAGGAAGAAGATTCTCACCTCTCCCAGAAAAACCTGCAATTACTTTGTGTAATGCCTTCTGCATAAAAAGAAAGAAGTTCTGCTTTGTGTGCCAGGTTCTGTGAGAACTGACCACTTTCAGACAGGTCTGTATGCACAGGCCATTAAGCAGTGACTGTGGATCTGCCTGTGCTCCTCGGTATTACATTTTTCTGGTTAACAAAGAAGGATCAGACAGACAAACGGCAGAGGGAGAGTCTCAGCACACTCTGCCCCACATTCAGTGATCCAGTTAAATCGTCTCCTGTGTATCAGGAAAAACGCTGGCCCTTCCTACAGGAAGGAGGAAATCGTTCTTTCTTCCCTGAGCTCATAGCGGATTTAAATCGTTTTTGAGTCAAGGCTTTGCAGCTTCCTCGCAGCTCTAAAGGCACCGAATCCCTGAAGCAAGAACTGGGAGCTGCACGGGGCTGCGTCAGCTCTGCAGTCACCAGAGGAAAACATCTCCAGCCAGGCTGAGCTCCGCGCTCGGAGGCGGCAGAGCGGGTCTGACCCTCGAGCACAGTGACATCTGCCGGCAGAGGCCCCCCAGGAGCTGCAGCCACCACGCGAACCGCGCTGGGGCTTTAGCCTTCCTCCTCTGCTTGCCCTACACAGCAGGAAAGATTATTTCCTCCAGTTTCTCGACACTACCCATATTTAGTCAATAATCTGTCCAGAACACAAACTCCGGGACCACCAGAAATCAAAAGTGTTTGTTTGCAACTTATGTTACCAATCATTTCATAATTCTCAGCTAGTTCACCACTTAACCACAGAGCACCTGGATTTATAGGAACAATGTATCTCTTCTAGACTGCACAGTAGCATCACTACACTTTTAGGTGTCCATAGCCATCCAAGACAGTTTGATATTACGTATTCTAACAGATCATAAATTGAATTTCCTCATCCTTGTATTTGCAATTTTGGTGAATGTTTTCTTATTTTAGTCACAGAGCTGAAAGAGGCTGCGTTTCCTCAAAGGTCAAGTCCAACCAGACCCTGTGTTAAAGTTTCAGGGTTATAAAGGTATTCCAACCCATGTAAAAAGCAGAAGGAGAGGTTGCTTCTTCACGTGCTGACTTTTATGTGATAAAACATCACATAAAAGCTTTCTCTGATCCTATAAACTAATTTTCCACTTCATTTGTTAACAAACTGACACAATCTACTAATCTCCTTAAAAAACATGTTTTATTTCTTCCAAGCTTCACTACCAGATAACCAACTCCACAACAAATACAAAACATCCTAGAGTATTTACATTCAATGTATGTTATTTTTCTTAGATGGTACACTGACACCATGGTCCATAAAATGCCTTTTTTAGGGTAAAGTAAGTGGCAAAATGCTTACAACTTCATCAAGAAACCTTAAAAGAGAAATGCCTGTAAATATAGACTGGCTGCAACTGGGAATATTAAGGCCATGCTGTCCAAAGGCTATCAGTCCTTACTTGTGCTGTGCAGGAAATAAGCACAAGTTTGCTGCAGAATCTAAGTAATTCTGACTTGTGGCAGAATCCAAGATAACCTTCTCAGAGTGTTCACGGAAGGAGGTTGTGGACTGTGTAATTTTAATCATGCTTGTTGTAGTAATAGCCTGAATGGAAGTGCCCTTCCAAGCTCAGACATGTGATTGAAAAAGAAACTGGAATCTAAGAATTTCATTATTATCGCACTGAAGTAAAAATTTCAAAGCTTCTGCAAGTCACTGAAAACATCCCTGTAAAAGGAGCCTTCAAAAGCTGGAAGATAGTGAGCTTCCCTGTCAGCATGCACAGTACAGCTTCAGACATTGGCATCCTCGGGGTTTTCTGTGCTTCTCTCATGGGGATCATCTGAGGAAGTAGATGAAGTAAATACTCAGAAGGGCTGAAAGCAAAATGCTGCTGCTTTTCCTCTCATTCACTTTGTGTGGACAAAAGTTTGAGGGCTCAAGATTTCCCCCATTTCAGACATGACTGCTCTCTGAATACCTATTGTTTAGTCTCTGCTCCTTGGATCTACTTCACTGCTTAACCTGTAGGAGCTTCATTTATGCTTCCACACACAGTAACCCCAGGAATACAGAAAGCATTATGCTCAGGAAAGCAAGTGCTTTTTGCACAATGAGGGGCCCACAGCTTTGCCTTGTCTGATGGCAATCATCACAAGCAGGAAATGTTCTTTACCTCATCCTTTGGGGACAGAAAAAAAAAGACTTCTGGATCTTATGCCTGAGATTATGCTCCTCATTATGCTCTACATAAACAATGCACATTCCTATCTCCATTTCAATCTGAAAACATTCTGGTGCTCTATGTCCTCCCACCCAGCCAACTCCTCAGTCTGTTGTTTTGTATACACTGTAGATACAAGCCCAGTTCAATTCAGAGACTTTTTTTTTTTTTTATGGCTCACTGAGCTAAGGTGATCCAAAATAAGACATTCCTTCCACGATGGAATCCAGAAAATGCATCAAAATTATTGGTTTAGGGAATCCACATTTTTTTGTCTAAACATGTATGATCAAACTTTGTTTAGGTCAAACGATGTCCTGGGTTTTCCTGCCTTCCTCAAGATGCTTTATCCCATGGAATCCCACATTCTAAGGGATAATGAGGCTGCTTTTGGGCATGTTTCTAATATGCATGAGAGCTGAGCAATTTCATATCTGTCATTCAATTAATGTGCTCCTGCAATGTATCTTTAGCACAATACTACTTATTATAAGATACACTCATTCATCTTTGATAAGCAGCTCAAGTCAGTCCTCACGGAAAACAAAAATTTACTGCTTGTGCAAGGCAGCTCTTAGAGCAGGAACACGCAGGTCTTGCCAAAGGCTACCCACCACCTTTAAAAATCCCAAAGTAATGAAGTTTCATTCTGAATTTATGCCTGGGCACTACTATTTTTAAAAGCTACCTTAATTCTCTGACAAAAGCACCTGGAGCTATAAGAACATTCTGCCTCTCAGTGAACTGCCAAAGAACACCTTCAGCTCTGAACAGCCACCTGAAAGACCCAGCTGATCAAGCTTATGGGCTCAAACCAGAAGGCTTTGGTTCTTTACATTACTGCTGGTTAACAAAAGGCTACTTTCTTCTCAGAGGAATGCTCATAATGCCTTCTGATGTGCTTAAGGGAACTGTTAGGAATTTGATGGAGATTAATTTTCTTGGCTGCCATTGACTCAAAAACTCAAAGTAGGGAAAGACCAACCGAATAGTTTCCTTCATTTTACGCTCAGTATTGTTCCAAGTTGGTATTTATCAAGTCTGGTTTTGCATATTTCTGAAAATTCGGAAAGGGGCAATCCCCTTCTAGAAAAAGGAACTTGGAGGTGTGTCTCATATTACTTCCTAAGCGCCAGTGAGAGTTAAATAGCCAGTTTAGTCCTGACATCCTCACCTTTCCTACTCTCACCTTCACTGCCAACACAGCATTACACACACTCAGAGCTGGAGAAAGAAAAATCCTTCTGTGGACTTGCGAGAGCTCCCACAGGCACTGCCACTCACGATACGCAAGGGGAAAGCTGCAGCCACGGGCTGTGCCTGCCGTTGCAATTCTGAGCCTGAAACGTGGCACATCCAAACACCATGTGATTCACTTCCCTTCCCAGTGGTCAAACTGCAAGTACCACCTGTGATCTTGGGCATCTCCTGTGCAGGGCCAGGAGCTGGACTTTTGTGATCCTCGTGGCTCACTCCTAACTCAGGATATTCTCTGGTTCTCAAGTACCACATCTTTTTTACAGATCCACTACCTACTCTCACAGAAGAAGCTGAAGTCCTCAGGGGACTGACAGCACACTCTAGAAATATTTAGGAACTGGTGTGCTTGGAGCAATATAAATGAGAACAGATTTTCTGCTTGAAGAGCTTTCGGTTTATAGTTACAGTCGGGATGCAACACTTCAGGTTACTGATCCAGGACACAGGCAGTCCAATTTCCTGCAGAAATACACTTGTAATATTATCCAGTTTAGACTAATCAAGTTCTTAAAATAGGAATGGTACAGTGCATGCACGTTTACTGAGGGTTACATAAGCTGTGCATTAATTCCCTCACTATTGTTCCAGTTACAAACTCATAAGAGGTTCAGTAAGACAGCTTATCATAATATGACATAGTTTACATCAGGCTCCTTATGCAGGCAGTTAAATATTGATATACATTGATCTCCTCACTGACAGCTGCAGGGTTTTTGGCATTATCAAGTTCAGAGGTGCAAATACTATATGTTATTAATTACACATCCACTAAGACTGGAAGAAGCAGGCAGGTTTTTTTGGTTTGGGTTTTTTTGTTTTGGTTTTTGGGTTTTTTTTTTACATCTCCTTTTTTGACCCACATTTCTAGACAGGGGAGGATTCTTGGAGCAGCAGGCTCACCACCTCCTACACTTGTAGGCTTAAACCCTATAAGCAAAAATAAACGCACATATGAGACACAATAGACTACCCACCCCAACCAGTCACTAGGAGAAATGAGCCGCCAGCAGCCCGGTGCTTTCTCACAGAGCGTGAAGGGAATGAAAGAAGTCAGAGACGGTATAAAGAGCTGCAGGAACGCGTGTTTGGAAGCGCACACGGAGAGCGGAGAAGGGATAAAGCCCCATCGCAGCCCACCTCATCCAGCCCCTTCCCCAGGGAGCGCCGGGGCCGCCGCCACCCCCGCACCTGCCCCGGGCCGGGCGGGCTGAGCCGGGTCCCGGCCGCAGCCCCGGGGCCCCCGCCCCGCCGCCTCCCCTCCGCGGCCCCTACCAAGCGCAGCTGGCTCGTCTCATCGTAGGACAGGAAGCTGAGGATGCTCTCGATAGCCACGATGGGCAGCCCCATGAGCGTGTTGCTCTGAGGCGGCGGCTCCATGGGCGCCAGCGGCTCGGCGGCCTCCGGCAGCGGGGCCGGGGAGAGCCGCGCCGAGCCCGGGGCGCCGCCTTCGCCCTCCGACACGAGCCGCTCCTCCGGCGCCGCCATCTTGCAGCCCGTCCTTCCTCCGCGGGGGGACAGTACCGCCTCTCTGTGACGCCTCTTCCGCAGCCGTCACGGCGGGCCCGCCCCGGCATTCCCGCACGGAGTGAGGGAAATGGAACTCCCGGTGCTGCTGTGGTGCCTGAGGGCTTGGGTCGCTACCCCTGCCCGGGGAGCCGTTCGCGGGCCGGCGCCAGAGGCATGGTGTCCGACTCTTGTCGGTAGTGCCCGGAGACAGAACGAGGAGCAAGGGCCGTAGACTAAAACACGGGAAATTCGCCAACCCGAGGAGAAATTTTTAAGCTGAGGGTGGCAGAGCAGCTGGAACAGCTGCCCCGGGAGGTCGTGGAGTCTCCCTCCCTGGAGACATTCAGACCCCAGCTGGACGCGTTCCTGTGTCACCTGCTCCAGGTGACTGTGCCTTGGCAGGCGGTTGGACTGGCTGATCCCCAGAGGGCCCTTCCAACCCTAATGATTCTGTGATTCCCGTGTGGGATTCCCACTCTCTCCGTGAGGAGTTTCCCTGATACCCAACCTGAACTTCCCCCGAGGTGGCTTTAGAGCATCCCCTCGTGTTGTAGGGCTGGAGGCCGGAGAGAAGGAATGAACGCCTCCCTGTCCATGCCCCCCTGTGGGAAGGAGCTCCCAAAGCTCCGTGGGTGCCGCAGCGCAGGAGCGCGGCAGTGCTCCGTCCGCACAGCACAGGGACCTGCCGGGAGAACGTGCTGGGTTACCGTGGGGCACCTACACGGTGGAAAATACCTCTGTAGCTCCTAAGCGAGCCAAAACTACATCCTCGCTACAAAGTAATCCAGCCTGCTAAATTTTACCTGTGGATGGGCAAGCACCCCCTTCAGTGGCTGGTGTCCAAGCTGCCCCTACTCTGGTGGCACGGGGAGCCACAACAGCCAGAGGGCTCCAGGTCCGCTGCCAGCCTTTGGGATCAGAGCCAGCTGGCAAAACCCTCGGCAGCCCGAAAGCCACTGCCTGGAACCAGCCATAACTGAGCAGGCGGAACATCCAGAATAAAGCAAACTCTGCTCCTTTATCCTGTATGTTGAGGAGGTTTCTGCATCAGATTGCTGGGACAACAAAAGGATGGGACCAAGACTGTTTCTAGAACATTCCCTGGTGCTTCTGAGAAGAGACACTCCCCAGTTTCACAAGCATGTTAGCCTCATAGAAGTTGGTACAGCCTTTGAAAAGTATGGTGCCAGTCTCCTCAGTGCCTTCAGCTGCTGCTGCTGCTTTGTTTCTCATCAGCAGCGTTGGGTGTCTGTGCTTGACTGGGGAGCTGGTGCTCCTGAGGACTGACTTGCCAGAGGATATCACTGAACAAATGCCAAGAGTGAGGGTAGCAACCACTTCTTTCAGTACCTTCACCAAGGTAGTACAGCTTAAAATATTACAGGACTAAAGAATTAGCTGCCTGCAGCACCTATGTACATTTTTTTTTTTTTAGCCATGCTTCCTCTCTTTAAAGTTTTATCCTAACCCATTTCTTTCACTCCCTCCTCTCCTCAGAAACTCATCTGCAACCTCTTTCTTAAAAAAAAAAAAACCAAAAAAACAAAAAAACCCAAACCAAAAAAAACCAACAAAACCAAAAAGAGGCATCTGGAAAAGAACTAACTTGGGAGCGGGGCAAACGCAAGGGTAAGGCTTTATGTGTGTCATCCTAATGGCACTCCAAAAATGTGTGCTGAAATTAATATTTCCTTTTTAGGAGCAGAACACTGTGTGCCTTGTATGGATCTGGAAGTGTTTTGCTCCCTCCCCTCAACTCATCAATGCTGCTATCTTGCAACAAGGGTTTTATTCCTGTGCATGGTTTCAGACCTGATCTCCTTTCACATGCACCGTCAGCAGTTTAAAACTCACTCAGGAGAATTCTTTATGAACTTGTGACTTGGCACGTGAAATTTGGGCTGGCAGTGTGTTGATGCTTTAAAAGGAAGTGGGATTTTTCATCCTACCTAAGCATATAAGATCTCACATTGTTTCAAGAGAGTGTTTCCTTTTTTTTGGCCATATAATTTAGACAATTTCAGTTTTTTAGATACAGCTCTATGTTTAATAAATATGAGCTGTATGTTTTTCATATCACCAAACAATAAATACAATGAACAATATCTATTTTATGCTAACTATATACAGACATTAACAGTTAATAAGTCTATTTTAGTAAGTTGGGTAATTCTGCTGCCTTCCAGGTTCTGACTCATGTCTTTCCCCAGTGTATCTGGTGTCATTTTTCTGAGCATGCATCACTTTGCATTAATTTGGAAAAACACAGTTCTCACGCACTTTCACAAAACCCCCATTACACACACTGCAGTGGATGAACTTCTCAGTTATTTTGGGATACTGTGAAGCCAGAAAACTTGATAATACTTTCTGAAAGGGATAAAATAAAGTTATGTAGAATCTATTTGCATATTACATGTCATGTATCATCTTGAAATAGCCTTAAATTTTAAAATCTTGAAATAGCCATCATTTTTATTTAACCATGTTAGAATTATAAGCATAGTTGGATTGATTTTTTTTTAACTTCTCAATGACTCACAAGAAGGTGTTAGGGGAAATGAAATTTTTCACTCCTTTCATGCAAAAATCCTCATAATATTTTGATTTATGTTTGGGGGAATGAAATTTGAATATCTCCATACTCTGGGCTGTATATTGTGCTCCAAACTTATTGGAGTGTGGTGTGTTCAGGCTGTGAAATTTTACTGAAATTGTGTGGAATGTTTTGATTAGGCTTTGTATGGCAGCAAACAACACCAAGAACTGTGATGAAGAGGAAGGAGCCTGGCTCAAACACAAGTCAAGTTGTATCTGTGAGATCTGAGAAAGGAGGAGAAATTAAAGAAAGGGTAAAAAGAGAGAGAGTGAGAAGCAGAAGCTAACAAGCAGACATCTGGGAGGATGGGAGTGGTGGAAAAAAATTAGCAGCGGGGGTTGGAGGTGAAGGAAAGTGTGTAAGTAGGTCAGAACTGTCATGTTGATTAGGAATATTGGAGCAAAGAGGAGTAACGTGCTCAGAAACTGATGGTAAGAGCAGAAGTTGGGTAGGAGGAGAACAGATTTGTTTTATTAAGTCAGTGTAATCAATAGAAAAATAGAAAAGCCTTTACCCACACAATATGTTTTCTTCTTGGGGGCAGCAGCAGTTTGCTCACTTCATGGATATTTAAAGAAATGGTAAATTTGAAATAAGTCTGGTTTATTCACACAGCTGTACTTTCATTCAGGCTGGTGGACACTAAGGCAGAGTAAAGTCTTTCTTGCTTAAAGGTCTTTTTGTGAAAGGCATTAAAAATGGGAAAAAAAGGGAATATTTAAATTTCCTTTGAGTGTGTTGTTAATAAACACAGAGAGCAGTGTAAATTTGAACACATTAATCTTTCACAGCTGAAGCTTTTAATCCTCTAATAGGTAAATGAGTAAATATTGTGGTATGAAGTCAGCTTCAGATATTAATGTAATCCCAGTTTAATTAAATCAATATAAATATTTAACTGGATCCTTTGCAGTTTAATCAGTTTTGGACCCAGTAGTGCTACATGTTACATAAAAATCTGGTTGAGAAACTGACTCTAAAATCTACATCCACCCCTTAATTTACTTGTAATACTGTATATTAGGTATCTGAATGTAATCATGTGTTGACGTTGAGAGGCACAAGAATACGATGCTCCATGGGAGATGAGAGGTAGAAGCACAAGGAAAGCAAGTAGACAGGAAGACAAAAAATACAGTCTCTTTAGATTTTTCTGAACTGAAAGTGTGGGGACCAGACTAATCTTGAGTGATTTATGTAGGCCAGGCATGTTGCACAGTCAAGCTTTCATCAAATATGTTTTTCAGTTTCAAATTTCAAGAAAAAACTTAAAATGTTTTCATATCCACAGGAAAAATGGCATTTGTAGACACACACTGTATTAATTCTACTCTACTACTAATTAATGACAAATCAGGTAAACCGATGTACGTGGGGAATAAAAAACTAGGGTTCAGACAAATATTCTTTTCTATTTCCTTGTAGTCAAAATACCTCCCCCAAGGAGGGCTGCAGAATCAGCTCCTGACAGCGTGTTGCCTTGGTCAGGTTACACATCCTCCCTCACACAGCTGTACTCAGAAGTAATCTTGGTCAACAAGCTTAGATTAAAAAAATAAGATGCTTTCATCAGATAACATGACTTCTGCTAGTTCTCTGTATTATTCTCTTGTAGGATGTTTGCTATCCTTAGGGCTCAGAATTAGTTATCACCTTGAGGAAGGGCTCAGTTTTGATGTAAGTTCCAAGGAATTCCTTTAATTTCAGTATACTAGCACATACTTACACTATGGTAAAGATAATTCAGGGGAGACATCAGTAATGTCTCTGTGTCTCAGAGATATCACCTCAGCTTGGTGAAATACCATAGACACAACAAACTGCACAAGTACTTTTGATGTCCCCAGGTCTGCCAGGGTTATCTCAAGCAGAGTTTGATATTCTGAGGCACAGGACTATAGCTCTGTGTGAGGAAGTGCAAAGAAAATAGATAAATTAACCATGAGAAGAGGTTTACAAAGACATGGTCTGCTCAGTCCTGCAGTCACTTTATAAAAAATATATTGTTGAGGGCCTGATCTTGAAATAATTTTGTATTTTCTGAAATCCCTCTGGTTTAATTCTCTCTTGACTCCAGAGGGACTGCTAGCATGAGCTAAGTCTGGCTTCTTGGCAGCTGAGCAACAGGGATGAGGCAACAGTAAAATGGCAGTGCTCATTTAACTCTCCACATCCTCCAAACATCCAGCTGGGATGAAGGTCCAGAGTCACTGTGTGGCTAATCAGTGTCTTAAAGTTTCTGGTAAGGAATGGGATTTTGATCACAGAATTTCTGTTTCCAGCAGCTGACTATATTTGTGCTTAATGGGAATGTGTTTCAGTTCCTTCCCTGTTTTTCCTCACTGGCCAGCTCCCTTATGGGGCTGGATGAGTGGCTGCAGGCAGATA